AGCGGAATTACGGCAACCTGGAGTCACCGGCCGGAGGTGCGGACCTACCATTGTCGAAATGATTGGAACGGACGATAAGCCACAGGCGCTCCCTCCTTACTCCGGCCCTCCCCCCCGTCAAATGCATCATCGCATTCCTCCTGAGGCGGCGCATGGCCTGGCAAATGCGCCGGGAGCATACGATCAGCCATGGCGCCCCTACCCACCGTCCTTCGAGCATCATCACGCCGAGCAGCGACGGGCCTCCAACCCCCCTCAACCTTCCCTGCCCTCTCACGGGTATCCTGTCATACCGAATCGAGAGTTGCCTCAGCTACCTCCCGAAGGGCCGTATGGCCGGCCAAATAGTTTGCCTGCTCCCAGTCTCACCCCGACAGAGTCGCATGCGCCGACTTTTCGTCCTATGAATGGAGCTTCGCACGATTCCATCCCCCATTCAGCACCGACGCATCCAGGTCCTCCTCCTCATTCGGCGCCCCCCGACTTTCGTCCGCGGATGACATATCCCCCTCAAGAACAGAGCAGTAATGGCGATCCCCCCCCTCCCCCTCCTCCAGCCCCGCACACGATGCCTCCAGCTCAGTTTCCGACACCGGTCCCGCATATTTCGCATACTCCTGCTCCCTATGAGCCGAATTATTACCAGAATCAAGCCTTTGGTATGCGTCAGCGCAAGGCTGCCCGGGCTCAACAGGTAATGACTGTCTTTTTCCATGGCGCAGAGAAACGAGACTGCGCGGGGTACAAAGAAAATAGACTAACTTTACATTCGTTCCATTGTCTAAAAGGCCTGCGATCAGTGTAGAGCAAGAAAAGCAAAGTGCGATGAAGGGCGGCCCGCCTGCAGCCACTGCAAGGAGAACAATTTGATATGTGTCTATAAAGAAGTTCCCCCCCACAAGTGCGTGACCTGCCTGACTTCTGTCTTTCAGTTGGTTGGTTGTCAGATACTGACCCTCAAGCTAGACAGGAAAAGGCCACCCAGCAGATCTTGGACAAGATACAGTATCTGGAAGATAAGCTCGACGAGCGTCTGACGCATTTTCAAACGGTACAGATGGAACATGGGATGACGCTAAGTAAGATTTCAAACGAGGTCGGATTGAAAGAGCCGAAACTTTTGGCTGTCAAAGATGCCACCCGATCAATGCCACCCAAGCAGACACTCGATAGATTGCTGAAACCAAGTGCTACTGATATTTTGCTTGAGTCAGAATCCAAGAATGGAGATGGAATGCAGCAGTTGGATTCGAATGATCCTCCAGGGCAGAGTTATGCGGAGAGGGAGGACGGTGAGCTGTCCATCCCGGTGGAACATACAACAGCTGCCCACAAGTTGCTCTCCTGGCCATCGATTAGGAACCTGCTCTATCCCCGCGAGTACGACGAGGATTATGTGATGATGCTTGAAGAGCAACGTGGCTTGATTCGCGTCTACGGCTGCGGTGAGGGCGACGACACAAGTGAGGATCGCATGTCGCCAACCCCATTAACTAGCTCGAATTCCAGCAGCGGATGGGATGATAGTCACACGCACCGAGCATCGCCGAGTAGCCCTTGGACGCAAAGCTCTCATCCCAGCGGTTTCCCGCAGAAGCTTCGAGACAAGGGGGTTGACGAGTTTGGTACTCTGTGGGCCGATCCAGACACCATCCGTCGCTATCATCGCAGTTACCTGGAGCACATCCACAAACTTCATCCCTTCCTCGACCAGAGCGACCTGGACAAGAAGATCGAAATGTTCATCAAGTTCCATTGCTTACCGAAGACATCTGGATCGACGCCTACAGGGACAGGCGACATGCCCCGAGGTGCAAAAAGAAAAAGGTCATGTGATACTTTGCAAGGTGCAGCGTGCGATTTTCCAACTTCCGCGGGCGTTAGGACAGAAGCGACGAGCCGTCGCATTGAAAAGTCAATTGACAATGCTGTTCTCCTTCTCGTGCTTGCGCTGGGCAGTATCTGCGAAGTGGGAGCACCAGTCCCCGGTCCTGTCACAGATAACCCCCCGGATTTTCGCAAAGAGTGGATCCCTGGCCCGCCTACCCGGAGCGTCCTATCTCCCGCTGGATCTGACATGATTATTCCAGCGCAGGGGAGCTTCTACGCACCGCACGCTGTCCCGTCTCCCTCACCTGTTGACGGTCGGAGAAGTGTCGGAGGGCGGTCGGCGTCATCAGGTCGAGACGTGCCTGCCAATCGACATCTCAGAAACGTCGATGTCATTCCGGGTTTATCTTATTATGCATATGCCACGCAGATCCTGGGAGGCCTTCAAGGGGCCAATGGCTTGCTTCATGTTCAAGCGGCTTTGCTCGCAGGACTTTACGCCGGCCAACTAGCGCATCCTTTCCAGAGTCATGGATGGATATACCAAGCCGCTCGCGCTTGTCAAGTACTCATCCGATCGTAAGCCTTTGTCTAAAGCCGAACTGAGCCCTCAACCTAGGTGACTTGCTGACTGCAGTACCAGGAAACGCTATGACCAGATGCAGGACGGGCCTATGAAAGACCTCTACGATTTTGCGTATTGGACATGTCTTCAGCTTGAGAGGTATGTTTGTGATGGTCGCTGTCAGATTTAGCCTGCGGGCCCAACTAACTCCGAATGTAGTGATATTCTTGCAGAACTTGATCTCCCCGCCAGTGGCATTTCTCGTGCAGAGTCACGTATAGGTCTACCAAAGGGACGCTTCACACTTGCTTTGCCAAATGAAATCTGCGCGCCCAGTACCATGATGATGTTTTTCTATTCTGCCCAAATCCACCTCCGGAAAGTCCTTAACCGTGTCCACACTGATCTGTACAAAGTTGAGAGTAAGGCACCTAAGACCATGTCACCAGGAAAACCGCTATTTATACTTCTATAGGACAACAAGGCTCTAACAATGCAAACCCGGGCAGTGCCACTAATGCTGCTGGTTCTGCGAGCGCTGTCAACGCTGCAATCGCCGCAATCACAGCTAATCCTTCCAGCAATACTACAACCACGAGCAGCTCGAGTAACAACCGGTGGACCTCAAACGTGCAAGAAATTCTTAGCATGAATCTCGAACTGTGGCGAAATAGTCTTCCAGAGATCATGAAATGGAAAGACACTGATCCCCCCTCGAACGACATAAACGTTGCTCGTATGCGGGCCAAATATTACGGTGCACGATACATCATCCACCGTCCTCTCCTATACCATGCTCTGCATTTTGCTGGACTCCCCAATCCCAATCCAACTGCCGCATCAGTCGAGTCACCCGCCGGGTCCGTTCTCTCTGGCTCGAAATCTCAGCAGGTTTCGCCCTCATTACCACACAGTCAACGGGCTTCAAACGTGGTGCGTCTGTCGAGTGATATGGGCATAGGAGTCCATAGCGCTCCTTCTTCCTTTCAAGGAGGCTCGATGGGCACCATTGCATACCGAGATCTACCGCCTAAGCTACGACGAGCCTGCAAAGTATGCATCGACTCTGCAATCTTGAGTACAGAGGCCTTTGATGGAATTGAAGGTCGTCCGATCGTGACAAATATTTTTGGAACTGCTCATGCCCAATTCGGCAATATGCTCGTGCTGTCTGCAACCTACATGTCCTGTCTGTCAGAGCTGGTGGACCGGAATGTGCTTGAAAAACTTCTCAAGCGAACAATTAAATTCCTGTTGCAGAGCCGATACATCTCCCCCAGTCTTCGAGCTGATGCGCGGATTCTCACCGAAATCTATGAGAAGATTTTCGGAGAGCCCGCCACGAGTTTCTCATCCGCCTATAGCTAGGTTCATACCGCTTCCCGTCTCGCTGCCCCTAGGGGAGACCGCCTCAGAAAATCGCCTGCACGATATTTCCGCGGGTCGCCTGAAAAGGTAGACCTCGTCGCCAGAATGGGGCTTCTACAAACACCAACTATCCAATCTATACCGATCCTTCGAATCTATTTCTTTTTTAGGACATAACTCGACTCGAGCCTCTCTTCCCCTCTTTGGTCCATGCTCTTTTCTTCGACCCTTGGCTCCCTTGCATATACTGATGCCTGACATGGCACGGTTCATATATAACATACATACATAGGTGTCTTGCACGGCGGTTCTTTGTTTTATCATCAGTCATTCTTGGGCAGGGCTTCAAGATCTTGGCTTATTCTTTTTGATTAATTTGCTGCGCATTGGGAATGGATGGGTGGCTACGTGAAATTATTCTGATCATACCGGCATTATCTAGCCTCGGACCTTTTTTGTTTGGTTTGATACCTTGTTCCTCCTTGTTGTTCAAACGGCGCTGGTTACACCCTACCATTGTGACTGGAATTGGGTACCTCTGGGAGGGATCGAGTCGTTGCATTTTCAGCGAAGCAGGGTTAATGGTTGCCAACTGACCTGGCTACCTGCATTCTTGGACAGTTGGACGGCCGAATATCACATGCGGGATTGCTCAAAGTCTAACAGATGATTGTCGCCAATGGCTGGGGATGGAAGTGATGGTGTGCGACTTTCTACCATATTTTGGAGTCAATGGGTCATTGTTTTCATTATAAGAGTTCAGGATAGGACTTGTTTGTCGAATAGCCTGTGTTACTCAAATAAAATCTTGCATCTCAGGAGCACTCGCCGTGCGTGATGCACAACAGGGACAGCGGTGTGACTGTAGAGATGATGGAGAGACATGTTCCTGCTCGGAGGCGATCCAGGTTTTGTACAACGCATGATTCGGCAAGGAGAAAAGTACCCGTGACCAGCGAATTACACCAATTATAACTGACAATTGTAGGACAATCATTCAATGAACGCTGAATATCTAGCATGAGCAGTAGCATGCCATTGGACAGGGCAGCATTGGCGAGGGACGTCGAGCCCGCCTCGGCTGCTTCTGAAGCTTTTCCCTGCAGTCCCTTGCTTGGACGATCAGCAACAACCATCATGCTCCGGCTCGCCTATATATGCAGGTCACTCATTAAGGAGGTCATGCTTGAGATTAAAGGGTCCAAGGGGCTATCGTCCAGCATAACCTGATTATTAGATGGTCTGCATCTTAGAATTGCAGGAATACACTTTTATTGATTTCTACCATGGTGACGCAAAGGAATTGGCTTTCACGCGAAGGTTGGTTAATTGCTTCCCATCCCACATGTCCACTGTTTGCTAGGCTATTGGTTTTAAAGGAGCGTGTTCTCTCGGAGGATAGGGTTCACTGCCGATGTCTTCGGAAAATGGATTCAGAACACGCTTCTGAGTCCCTGGAAGACGCTCCCTCTCCTGCTGGCGGCCCAGTATACCGCGAAGGGCCACCAACTCGCCCTCGAGCACCCGCGATCCTTCCAGGCCCTCCAGCTCCTCACTTTGCTCGCCGTCCTCCGCCATGTTAACGCCTGGCTCAATACCCGGACCCTGAACAATGGCGTCTCGGACCGGTACGACTGGAATCGCGAGGTGGTTGTGCTGACAGGTGGCAGCAACGGGATAGGCAGACGAATCGCGCAGCTGCTCGGCGACAGCGGCATCAAGGTCGCCATCCTTGACATCCACTCACCACAGGAGGACCAGGGCCGCCTCCCGCCCACCGTCCGCTTCCACAAATGCGACATCACCTCGCCCTCGGCCATCGCGGCCGCCGCTGCCGACATCCGCGCAACTCTGGGCGAGCCCACCGTCCTCATCAACAACGCTGGCGTCTGCAGCGGCAAGACCATACTCGGCGGCACGGAGGCGGACACCCGCATCCAGTTCGAGGTCAACACCCTCGCGCACTACTGGCTTGCGCGCGAGTTCCTGCCGCACATGGTCAAACGCAACCACGGCATGGTGGCCACCGTTGCCTCGCTGGCGGGATATACCACCACCCCCAATATGGTCGATTACTCCGCCACCAAGGCTGCGGCGATTTCGTTCCACGAGGGGCTGGCGGCGGAGCTGGTGACGAGGTACCATGCCCCGCGGGTGCGGACGGTGCTGCTCACGCCTGGATTCACGCAGACAGCGCTCATCGGGCAGTTAACTCCGGAGGATACGTGGTTTAATCCGCTGCAGCAGCCGGAGACGGTCGCGGAGCAGTTGGTGAGACAGATCCTCAAGGGGAATAGTGGGCATGTTGTTGTGCCGGGTTCCTCAGGGTGGCTTGCTCGGAACCTGAGGAGCTTTCCGCCTTGGTTCCAGCATTCGCTGAGGTCCTGGTTGGAGAGATTGATGCGTGCTGATTAGAAGCTGTGTTACTTTATGACTTGGTTGAGCTTGGTTGGTGCTTGGACTGTTTGCTTCGCTTGTCACGCTGACGCTGTCTAGACCCGAGTGAGACTTTTAGTAATCAGTGTGGGACTACTGGCTGGATAGGTAGTACTCTAGCATTGTGCTTTTTTTGGGAGCCAGTCTGTGGCCAGGTTGTTCAGCTATGGGAGAGGCCTTAAATGGACACCTGAGGCAGAATCTACGTTTCCTAAGTTCAGGTAGCCACAAACCTCGTGTAATTATGAGGATTGTACTGAATAGGGCAGAGAAATGACGCACAGAAGGATTGATTAGGTTCAACCATAGCAATCTCCAATCAGTAAATAAATCGTCCTATCCAGTCCTCTACAACCAGCCTTCTGGCCTAAGGCTACCCATATTCTTCTCGTGGTCCTCGTTGTTGCTCGGCACGTGCAGCCAACCAGCCTCCCCAGCCTCACCGCGATTTCGTCGTTCTCACTCACCTTTCGATTCAGTCCTGCAGGCATTCTCTGCCATCTCAGACGTATACACGTTCAGGGGAATTATCGTCCAGTCATCATCTTGGATGGATTCTAATTATCATATGCATCAACTCGACTCCCCACATTCTTACTTTCATCATCGTTCTGTCTGACTTCAACATCATCATCATCGTTATTATTGTTCCTCCTCGGATACTCTAAACTAGTACAGATCTGAACCGTGCCCTCGCGGCCTTAGGCGCTAACCGCCCACTGGATCGCCTTGGCAGCGGATTGTCTGGAGCAACCAACCACCCTTAGCAGCAAAGCTGACCCAGCGCTATCATCTGAGCGGTTCAGGCTGGGGCTGCCGACGAAAAAGAACCACGGCTCAGCTCCGTTGTTGTCCTTGTTTACCTTGCGGAAAACAACAATCCATTATCCGTTCGATAGGTTCTCCTCTCGAGCTGAGCTGAATATTTCCACCCTGTTCGTGCCATCGTCCTTTAGCATCACGAGTTACGATTTTGCTTTTGGTCCCTCACTCGACCACCTAATTAATCTATTGATTTAATTTACGACTTGGATTGACTGACAGGGCATCATTACGACGATTGTTGTTCCTTTCCTCTCTCGACAGTCAACCAGCCACCAGCTCCGCCTTGAACCATCGAAGAATTCCCAGGCTCAACATTCCGATTCCCACATGGTTGTCTGAGCCGCACGGAGCATCATCTTGATCGCTCTTTTCAGCCCACCATGTTCAGGGCTCTGATGGGGGGCCGTTCCTCCGATAGCCGCAGCACAACCTCGAACTCCAAGAGCAGTAGCCGCCGCCGAACCAATTCCAAGGCTTCTTCGACGGTCAGCCGCAAGTCCTCACGGGGTGACGACCGTGATCGAGGCTTGGGCGATCTGTCGGCGTACTCTTCTTCAGGCAGCCGCAGCAAGCGATACGCTCCCAGCGCAGCGGGCGATTCGGTCGCTTCGAGCTATGCGACGGCAGAACCGGGCATATCGGTCGAGCACGATCGGATTATTATTGAACGGACACCCAAACGCAGAGATACTGATGAAGAAAGCGGTCGCGATCGATACTCTGATATTCGCGACAGGGATGGGCGCAGTTCTCGCAGACGCGACCGGGACCGATCGCAGAGTCGTGAGCGTGAACGGCCCAGGTCGGAGAGGATCGAGCGGGCACAATTGGAAGACGACGCTGTAGAGTCTCGCGACCGTCGTCGGGAACGGTCGCGGACTCAGTCCGGCGATACCTACTTGCCGCCTGTTTCCACATCGATGCCCATTCAGCCAAATTCCCCCTTGGTCTATGACCCTCATGTCCAGCAGCAGTTCCCCGGTCAGTTCCCTGCTTATGTTGCCGAGCCATATCGGCCTCCGAATCCCGCCGGCGAAGCAGCCGATTATTATGGCGATCAGGGACAGTCTGTTGCGGACCAGCCAGGTGTGCGTCCGAAACCTCCATCTATTATTCCCAACAGCCAGGCGCATCTCATGACTGCGTCGCCTGTCGCCAATCCACCACCGGAGCCCAGCAGCATGGGCCAGGTGGGCGCAGCCGCTGCGTACTTTGCAGACGACCCCGAGCTCGCGGTGGATCCAGCGCCAGGACGACCGGATCGTCCAACTGCTGGAACAACGTCCAAACCTCCCAAGCCATCTAACGCTACATTCGGCATTTCGGGGATGGCCGCTGGAGCTGCTGCCTATGGAGCAGGAAGCAGCTTTCCCTTGCCGGCCAGCCCGATATCGCCTCCGGAACCTGTCCCAACCACTGCTCCATATGCCCCTCCTGTGACATCCAACACTACCAAACCGCCCCATGCCCATGGTATCGGAGCCTCGGTTGGAGCGGCAGCAGCGGGTGCTGCAGCAGGTTACATGCTTGGACACCACCAGCACCATTCAATGTCGAGCACCGACCATCTATCCCAGTACACCATGCAGAATTACGACGAGTCTTCCCAGCATGGGTTCGGAATCCCAGGTCCGACAGTCCACAATGTACCGGCCAATCCAGGGTGGCACGCTGCTGGGACAGGAGCAGCCGTGCCGTATGCTGCAAGCCCTCTGCATCCCCACCATGCTGCTGTCCACCACGGGGCTCCCTTCCCCTCAGGAAGCTTGGCATTTCAGCAGCGCCAGCGTGGTCCGCTTGATAAGTTCATCGACTTTTGGCGTGATCCTGAGGGTGTTGGTATGTTTGAAGAGTATACCGAAGCCATAGGCGTCTGCAAATACTGCTTCGAACCGGGCACTTCCTCGCGTGACGCACCTCGTAAACATCACTACCGCCCACGCCGTTCGTCCGGCGAGCGCTACGTTGGTGGGTCGCGGGTGGGAAAGGCAAGTCGTTATACATCCTCTGAGGATGAAGGTCGCCGACGGAAAAAGTCATCACGGAGTTCCTGGCTGCTGCCTGGACTCTTGGGTGGAATTGCGGCCAAAGCTCTTTTCAATAACAAGGATTTTGAAGACACCTATAGCGTCCGTTCGGGCCGAGTAATGACCGTCAACGACACTGAAAGCGTCTCAACAACACGGCGGAGCCAGACCTCGCGTGGCGTCTACAGGCGTCGGAGTCCGTCTCGAGACCGTGAGTCCCGCATCATTTACTCAGACTCGAAAAGTCAATATGAGGATGATAAGCGACACCGTTCTCGGTCCCGATCCCATTCGTCCTCCCGAATTGGCCGCCATTCGGCGCTCAGGGATGCAGCCGTAGGTGCGGCTGTGGGTTCAGGAGCTTTGGCTTTGGCCAAGTCTCGTGATCGAAGCCGCAGTCGCAGCCGCAGTCGATCCCCAAGAAAGTCAAAGGGGAGGAAGTCGTCAACCTCTGGCTCTTCCTCTTTTCTTGATATCTCCCAACCTGCTCGAAAGTCTGTTGGCGGTGGCATTGCTTCTTTCTTCACGGCTTCTTCTGACAACCGCGGAAAGCGCCGAGTCAAGAAACGCAGGAGTATCTTTTCGTTCAACAACTCATCCTCTTCTTCGCTTGATGCGGACTTGGCATTTGGTACCGGATTCGCGCGAAAACCCGCTCGCAAGTCGGACAAGAAGAGCAGTAAGAAGAAGGACCGTGACGTAGATGCAGCTTTGCTGGGATTAGGCGCTGCGGCCACCGCATTAGCTGCTACTTCTCACCGACGAAGTCGGCGGGCTGGAGAGATTCTCGCAGCGAAGGAGACACGGTCGCGACACTCAGATTACGCATCGTCGGTCACTAACGATGAGGGCTGGGAGGATCTGGACTCAGGGGACCAGTCTTCCTCCAGTGTCAGTTCGGCGCTCGCGTTCGGTGATACCGGTTTGTTCGGTAGCGATGAATCACAGTCGTCTGACTCTGGCACTTCGAAATGGGGTTGGAGATGGGGAAGCAAAAAGAATAAGAAGAAGAAGAAGCGGGCTAGCTCCCCTCAGGACAAATTTCCTACGGGTGCTGCTCTCGCTGCAGGTGCTCTAGGAACGGCTGCGTTGGCGTCGACTCAGGACAGAGACTCCAGATTACCCAGGCAGCCTGCGTCAAGCAGCTCCGGAAGCTTGCAGCATGTGGCCCCCGTGCCAACTAGCGATCCCACCCTCGTGGATGCGGTCAGGGTGGCGTCTCTGCCACATGCTGAACCCGCATTCGTTCGACCTGGTCCGATTCCATTGCAGCAACCGCAACCCATGACGCCAGTCTCCCAGGCGGTTTATGCCACCCAGGGCGAGTCGATTCCGGCATACGCTGCTCCCATGATCCCACCTGCCTTCCCCCCGGCCTCCTACATCCCCTACAGACCAGAACAAATTCAGAACGTAGCTCTAGGCTTCAATCGGCCACACCACAGAAGCGACTCTTCCCCTGTGTTCCATACAGAACCTCTGGAAGGTGTGCCAGCACCCGGACTGAAGCGTCGCTCGACCGTCAAAGACCAGAGCTCGGTTCAGTTTGATCTGACCAAGGAGCAAGCTGATAAGGAGCGACGTGCGGATCGCCTTGAGCAGTTGAAGCGCGACGTGGAGCGGGCCAGCGGCGTGCAACTCATTGATAGAGAATATGAACCCACCGTCCGCGATGATGACCGTCGTTCAGGACGCTACGAAGATCGTGGATACGATGATCGCAGACAAGACGAGCCTAGAGAGGATCGCTACGCCATGGATTCTGGAAAGGGCAAAGATTCGTTCTCGCGGGTCGGTGCTGTCGCCGCGGGTGCAATAGGCGCCGCAGCCGCAGCTACCGTGCTATCTGGAAGAAGTTCGGTTGACGAATCGTCCGAAACAAGCCAACGCCGCCACGAGGAACGTCGACAGCAGCGCCGAGCGGAACGTCGCCGTGGATCCGAGCCGGAGTCAACAGTGTCCAGCCGTAGTAACTCTGAGCCTGTCCATGAAACGAATGATCATCTGCCCGAGGAACGACAGCCGGAGCCTACCAAGCCGCCGAGTCCCAGTCGTAGTCCCCATAAATACGACGATTACGCTGAGTTCTTCGCTCCTGAGGAGTTGCGGTATAGCCCGGATACCTAC